TCTAGGTGTGTGAATGTTTTCTACAAAAACTGTTTATCACAACTGTGATACTACACCAATTAAGCTTATGAGAACTAGAGTGCTAAAATAATTGAGTAAAGAATTTGAGAGCTTTTAGCAAGCTGAGAGTGAGGAAGATGATGGATAGCTTTAGGCGTGTAGATTGTTGTAGAGCATTAGCCAATTCAATCTTCACTGTGTTGTTTATATAGCATTTGAAATTTGGTACGTTGGAGTAGTTAATTCCGTTTCAATGCCAATAACAATCTTTCCTTATTAAGCAGATTTTGTCTAGAATGGTGTCGTTGGTAATAAATTATCTTGAATGCACAGTACCGTTGCCACTTAAGCGTGTTCTGGCTTTGGCTCATTCTGACGCTGCTTAGGTGCTGATGAAGTGTTGTCTTGATCAGAGTCCAGATTATTACGCGCAGATCTGTTCATCAAGCTTCGGTGTAAGCGCATGTTGATCTTCTGATTCTGACATCTGATATAACATCTTCTAATGCTGATGTTGATATTACATCTTCTGATGCTGATGAAGATATTCTCCTGCTGATGCCTATCAGAGTTTCTGTAAAACAGAGTGTAATTTTTTAGGCAGCATATATGTCTTACATGAATCATACAATTAATATATCTTTGCATTTTGTTATCATCAAAACTTAAACTTAGGGTAGTAGATTCAAACTTTGTTCTAACACTAACAATACTCATCACTGTCAATACGTATCACTCACAATCTAAGTCATTTTTAACCCAAATTGAGAGACCGATTGTATCACCAAGGAAATGATCTCTCTAACTCCTCAACAGCACAGAAGACAACTATGTAATCGCACTGACGATCTCTCAGTACATCACAACCACACAGAGGCATTAAGCTCTGATACCCAAGTTGATGTCAGCTCTAAATCCATCTCTAAAGTTCCGAAACTAACAGTTAATCATCCTAAATAAGAATCTAAGCAGTATATATCTATAACAACTCAAATCCCTAGCACAGAGCAAAAATCTAAGATAATAAACGACACAGATTTGTAAAGCAAGTTTAATATAACGTCATGGGCGACAAATATATATATATATGAGTTCAAAGTAAATACATATACAAGCTTAACACTTAAAGAATACATAAAGTAGAAGAGAAATGAACCACAAATCTACCAGTTTGTCAATGCCGATTGAAGAGCAATCCATCCCGGATCATCCGTATACAAGTTTCAATGTTGTTTTTTAAGCTCTAACTACCAAAAAATGAAGGATGATGGAGTTGGGGTCAAAAATACCCAAAACCATACCAAAAAAGTGTTTTTACCCCCTAAATACACATTTATGACTGTCCTGCATCACCCGACAACCAAAAAGCGTCACCCGACGACCAAAACTGTGTTTTTCCACGCTTCAGGTCGCTCCAGAATCGCCTGGCGACCAAAAAGCATCGCCCAGCGAAAGATGACAAAAAGTTGAAAAACCAGCACAGATTCAACTATAAGTTTTGAATCGTAACTCTGATTCGCGCACGGTCGGAAGTGTTGGAAAGCTTATTGAATGCTCTATTTAACAATGCATAAATATCAATGCTTGAGTACCTACAAGAATGAAATAAAATCAATTAAACTCAATGATATTTATACAATAATATAATAAGTACACTATAACATAAACTATACCAAATATACACGAAAATTGAGGTTTATTGACAAAAAGCAAATGAGTTAAGCCGATGAGTGCTAATTATTTACACTCAAATTCACAGTAATTTAGCACACATTAAACTCTCCCCAACTTAAAACATTGTTTGTCCTCAAACAAAGTCAAATAAACTTAAAGAAGCAAATAACGATAATCAAAGAATCACGAATCAACAGATTTTGAAAACAGAAAACAAATGCAATGGTTCAAATGAAAAACAGTGCACATAAAGTAAACAGTTACCACTAAACTACGACTATAACATAAATATGAAACAAATGATAAATACAAAAATTATACCAAACATTCTAAAAAAATATTAGTTCACAAATGAATCACACCTAGCAAACACAATCATCGGTAGATGAAAAATACGCAAAAATGGGGTATTTTCACTCATCCAATAATCTTGCAAACAATTGACTAAACTATGCATTCATCCAAAATTTTATATTGAAAATATACAAGCAAGAATCTCAAGGGCTTTTCAAGGTTGTAATGTGGCTTAGTTAACAAACATGTGATAAGTCCTAAAGCTAATCAGAACAAAAACTTGCATAAACCTAAGGGAGTAATTACTTCCACAAAGTTTCAAACAATAGAATTTCAATCAAACTTCTTCTTCACCCCAAATTTCAAACCAACACACATCACTTATTCCATACTCTTTTTGTTTTTGTTTTTCAAAGTTTTTCTATTTTTTTCCTTTCTTTTTCTATCACTTTTTTTTCATTTCTTTTCTCTTTTTTTTTTTAATTTTTCTTTTCAACCTCATAGCAATCAACCAATAAATATACAATTATTTTTCTCCCCAACTTGAATTCAACCATACATTAAAGTGAATACACCCTACTTTTTAAGGCAAGGTAAAAATTCAAACCAAAATAATGGTTGAGGGTTCAAGAAAACAACTAATCAACATCCATGCAAAAAGGGAAACTAAACACTCATAGACAAGCATTTAGAAAATACAATATGGATATCGATAAAAAGCTCACAGGGGTTACTAATGATCACACACTCACAAGGTGAATTGACTTATTTGGCCAAGGTAGTTGTGCTCAAAATGAAACAAAAAAAATACTTGATCATGTTCAAGCTTTCATACAATCAACACAAACAAAAGATTAAGCATAATAAAATCCAGTTAAAATAAGAATTATGATCTCCAACATATGTGAACAATGGAAAGCTTCCTCATAAAAAAGGTAGGAACTAAAGTGATTCACTAATGAACAAGTATACAAAATAATGAATGGCATAAAAATTGTAAAAAGTCTAAGTATCATGAATATGTTAAAGTATAGAAAGCAATAAACACATACCTCGAACGTGTACAAAACTTTAACAAAATCATTACCACGCATTCGCAAGTCGAAATGATCAAACTTGACAAATTACCTCAATATTCTACAAGTTACCGGACTAAAACTTGAGTGCAAACAACAACAAAAGAATTAGGAAAATAATACTCCTACAAAATTTCAATGTAAAAACTTTATAATATATACAACAAACAAAACTCCTCAAGCTAAACACGACAAGCTTTCGGAAAACACAAATTGACATAACAAAAAAAAATACAAATAACATGCTTGTTTCAACTTGTTAAAACACAAATCACCACACACATAAACAAATACAAACAAACATGCTTGTTTTACATCGTAAGCTCGACGCCTTTATTGTGCGAGCTAGTAACCTCCTCTCATCATGCCATGGTATTGTCACACTGCGAAAAACTAAAGAAAATGTCTTAACAATCATACAACAAATATTACGAAAATGAGACAATTCACAACAATACGTGAAAACAAAGAAAAACACATATATGCACAAGTATCATATATAAATTAATGTATAATTTCTATATAACATATACATTAATTACAAAACTCAAAACAAAAGAATTATCGCAATGTGAAATCAATAGAACCAATCCCCGACAACAGCGTCATTTTGTTGCTGGCGGTGTAGCGGCAAGCAACAAAAGTTTTAGAAATATTTATCCGGCAATTTATCATATCCACAGAGGTTGGTTATTAAATTGTCGTTCGACAAATATCTCGTTAATGAGTTTGGGGATAAATGAGTTTGTAAAGAAAATGTTATCAACAGAAAATAAATGTAAACAAAAGTAAAAACTAAGGAAGAACTTATCAAGTCTGTATATAATCTACTCATCACAGACTTAAATCTACCGACCAGTTACATTCAACTTAACAATACCCATCAATGTTACTATGTATCACTCACAACCTAATTCATTTCTAACCCAAATTGAGAGACCGACTGTATCACCAAGGAATGGTCTCTCTACCTCCTCAACAACATAGAAGACAACTATGTAATCACACTGATGATCTCTCAGTACAGCACAACCACACAGAGGCATTAAGCTCTGATACCCAAGTAGATGTTAGCTCTAAATCTATCTCTAGAGTTCAGAAACTAACAGATAATCATCCTAGATAAGAATCTAAGCAGTATATGTCTATAACAACTCAAATCCCTAGCACAGAGCAAAAATTTAAGATAATAATCGACACAGGTTTGTAAAGCAAGTTTAATATAATGTCATGGGAGACAAATATACATGAGTTCAAAGTAAATACATATACAGACTCAACACATAAAGAATACACAAAGAAGAAGAGAAATGAACCACAAATCTATCGGTTTGTCAGCACCGATTGAAGAGTAATTCATCCCGGATCATCCGTATGTAAGCTTCAATGTTGTTTTCTAAGCTTTAACTATAAAAAAAATGAAGGATGATGGAGTTGGGGTCAAAAATATCTAAAACCATACCCAAAAAATGTGTTTTTATCCCTAAATATGCATTTATGATTGTCTTGCGTCGCCCGACGACCAAAACTGTGTTTTTTCCACGCTTCAGGTCGCTCCATAATCGCCCGATAATCAAAAAGTGTTGTCCGACGACAGATGACAGAAAATTGAAAAACCAGCACATATTCAACCATAAGTTTTAAACCGTAATTCTGATTCACGCTCGATCGGAAGCGTTGGGAAGCTTATTCAATGCTTTATCTAACAATTCCTAAATATTAATGCTTGAATACCTACAAGAATGAGATAAAATCAATTAAACTCAATGATATTTACACAATAACTCAATAAATACACTATAACATAAATTATACCGAACATACACTAAAATTGAGGTTTATTGACAAAAAACAAACAAATTAAGCCGATGAGTACTAATTAACACAATTTCTCCAAAAAATCTAAATATTACTCAATTGCATACAACATTGTTTCTAATGTGAAGAAGGCTATAAATGAAACGTTTCTTTCCTTCACTTATTTTGAAATACATTGTCGGGTTATTGCTGAAGCGAGATATGTTGAGGAAAGGAGGAAACTCTTTGGTACCTCCCTTATTTTTGCTTTGTTTGCGGTCTGTTATCACACACTTTTCTTATTGATTGATTATCTTCCTCTTTTTCTAATGACCTCAAAAAGAAAGATCACTCTGTTGTCGGGAATACAGTTGCGCAGGATGTCAAGGTTCCCTTTAGTTATCTCGACATCTTCGAAGATTTAGAGTAAGAAGAATCATAAAATGCCCACTATGAAGAACCAGTGCAAGGAAATCATCCAGGGAAGTTTTTCAAAGACTAATAAGTCAAAGAAGCCTGGGTCTACTCCGAGCATCCACTTGGGAGACACTTTTCTCCCACCGCCCCCTATGTTGATTGGTCATTTGTCTCGAACTGTGACATAAATGAAGGATTGTCTATCTGCTGGTGATTACGCCCAAGTCGTAAGCTTTTCTCCCACCGCCCCCTAATGTTTACGTATGTTTAGTCATCTGGATGAAGCTTCTTCTTTTATGGATGAAGTGAAATTGTATGGGTTCCCATGGATTTTTGGTCAGTTTCATAGTGGAGCTTGAAAAGTTTCTTGAAGAGAAGAAACAGGGAACCCATAAAATGGAACTTGCATTGGAGAGTTCTTCCTTTGTCGCCCAAGATTTTAGGTCGGAGCTTGAGAAGAAGAGGGACGACAAATCTAATGAGAGTGAATAAATCTAAGCAACCAACTGCGAGATCTCTCAGATGAGGACCTAAAAGAAGTTGCCTTTCGCAATATATTGCGCTATTTGGAGTCTATTGTGCCTGATCTTTGGGCTTTTTAGGACTATTTATCCTTTGTTATATATTGGCTTGTTGTAACTTGGTTTCGAATGCATTAATTAATATTTGCTTATCATTTATCCGATGTGCTTGCTCTATATTTAGCGTTTGTTTACATGCTATATTTAGCATTCATTGTGTTTCCTAATGCCTACAATCTTTGTCTACGCAGAAATGCATGTAATATTTATCTACGCAGAAATGTGTGAAATCTTTGTTTCCTCGTCTTAAGGGTCCTAAAGAGAGATAAACAAAAAGAGTGCAATAGAGGAAAAAATAGCATACCAGTATTTGCATTCATAATGAAGTGAGTTTATTACATTAAAATAGTGAAATGAATAAATAAATAGATCTTTAACTATATAATATTGATTTAGTTTGACAAAGTTCCAAGTTCCACATCCTCGGTATATATTCTCCTTTGAGGGATTTCAAGAAGTATGAACCTCCTTTGATGTTGACCTGCACACGATAGGGCCCTTCCTAGTTAGCTTCTAGCTTCCCATCACTGGCATTCTTCCCTCCCATGTCTACTCTCTGAAGCACCAAGTTATTGGTTTGGAATTCTCGTGGTCGGACGCGACAATTATACCTGGAGGAAGCAGATTGCTTGGTGACGACACTAGTGAAGGCGTATGTCATCCTATTTTATTTCAAATAGTAAATTTATTTTTGGATGGCCTTTCCATTACCTTCCACCGGAAACAGGTTAGCAGTTCTCTAGCCCAACTGTTCAATTTCCAGTAGGATGACAACTTATATTCCATACATTAACCTCAAAGGGGTTTCTCCCGTGGTTGAATGAGAGGGTGGTACGGTATGCCCACATGACATATGCACTCTAAATTTGTGTTTTATGTTGTACAGAAGTTCTGACTGAAACGACATCAGAAGTTAAGCCACATAAGCTTTCAAGCTGAGTAATCAGAATGTTCTGAAGAATGATGATCAAAATTTACGCTAAAGTAAAAAATATTCTGATTCTGAACAGAAGTCTAACGCACCAACAGATCCTCATGTCTCTGAGTTATCAAAGTTCTGAAGTAAAGCAGCATGCAAGATTCCTAAGTTTTGAAGCGTTATTTTCCCATTAAGGCAGTATCATATGCAACGGCTTCATTCAGACAAGAATCTTCTCAGTATGGAAAGTGCATTAAGTGTCCATTATCACGTTTCAATTTGGACAAATCTCCACGCCTATATAAACAAGTTCAAAGGGTAAATCATTTACGATTTTTTCTCACGACTGCTCCATTCAATCTCAAGAAGCTGAAAATACTCATATTCATTCTATATTCAAATTGTGTAATACATCACAGTAGTGATACCGTTTTTGTAACGAAAAACAAATAGTACACAGTAAATTTTTCTTTGATTAAGATATTTTCCTTGAGATAAATCGGGTTATGGTTATACTCAAGAAGACTTTGGCAGTTGTCAAAGTAGATTTGTAATCTGTTTGATTAGTGAATTAAGTCCTCGTTGGAGAGAGGCGAAATCACCTTGGCGGGTGGACTAGAGTAGTTTGAGATCAAGCGAACCAGGATAAAAATCTTGAGTATATTTCTTTTGATTTTTAAGTTTCAATTCAACCCCCCCCCCCCCCCCCCCCCCCTTCTTGTGTTTTTCACTTCTTCACATGTCACACTTGATTTTAGGTCAATCCACCATGTTCCAACTTGTCATTTTTGATTTTTTTTTTCTTGCATTCCAAGGCACAAGGATGATCATATGAACTCAAAATGAAGTATAATTGATAGGCACTTGATTAATCTTGATGAAACCTTGAGAAAAATGATAAAGAATGCATGAAAATAAACACATGAACCTATCTTGAGTTAACTTGCAAACCAAGCATGAAACTTGAACTTTTTTTGGTCAATTGGTATTGAATGAAGCCTGACATGAATGTGACCTAAGATTATAAGTCATGCCTTGAAGAATTCACCTTGTTGACCACTTGTTGATCTTGACTTAGACTTAGACTTAGGGGATCAAAACCTAATTTAGAAACCATCTTGATCTTTTGATGAAAAAGCCCTACCTTACAAAATAGAAAAGGAAACAAAGCCAATTTTTGTATTTTGAATAAGGTTAGTAAAACATAAAATCAAATAAATATAAAGATAAAAGAAATAACAAATGGTGCTTGGTTATCTCCCACACAATAACCCAAAGAATCACAATTTAGGAGAATATCAAGTTTGTGATTTTCATGAAATGATATTATAGATGGGATCTTAGGGGTAAAAATTAGTGTATGACAGTCGAGTAAGTACCATAGGTGTAGCCAAGGTTTTCTTCATAGATTCAAATGCCTCTTCACACTCATCTGTCCACTCGAATTCGGTCTTCTTCCTTAATGGGCAGATTTCGAAATGAATTTGTTCAAAGTAGTCAACATACTATTTAATTTCTAGACCTCCTTTTTCGATGACGACAATATCATTTGGATCACTTCCTTACACTTGTCGAGGTTTTCTTTTATTCCTCTATCAATTAGGTAATAGCCCAAGAACTTGCTAGCTTTCACCCTGAAAGTGAACTTATATGGGTTGAGTCTCGTATTATACTGACAAACCCTCATAAATACCCACTGGAGATGTTGAGCATGAAGTCCTCCTTTTCTATATTTCACAATCATGTCGTCCATGTACACTTCCAACGTCTTCCCTATCTTTTCATGGAAGATCTTATTCATCATCTTTTGATATGTTGCTCTGACGTTCTTTAATTTGAATGGCATGACGTTGTAGTGGTAGTTAGCTTGCTCAGTCGTGAATGCTCATTTTAAATAGCTGGATTTAAAAAAATGTATCTAATTGTACCCGGAGTAGGCATCCAGGAAGGATAACAAATGGCAATCAGTCGAGTTATCTACAAGCTTTTTAATGTTCAAGAGAGGGTAAGAATATTTTGGGTAAGATATGTTGAGATATGAATAATCAACACACATTCTCTACTTCCTCAAGACTTTATTGACTAGATCTACATTAAAGAGAAATTATGTATACTTTGCCTCGAAGATGAATCCAACGTACAATAAACCTTCCACCATGCTTGTCGTGGCTTCAACATTCTCCAGGGAGTACCCCTCCACCATTGAGACACCTAATGGGCACTAGAATATACATTAAATAAATGGCATGCCACACTGGGGTCAGTGTCGGGCATTTTGTGGACCTTACTCCTAAGAGAATCCTGGGCAATATCTTCACCAACCATATAGGGTTATCGTTAAGCTGGACGAATTCAAACTCATCGTTTAGAATATGTCTAACTTTATCTTTGCGTGTATCCAGGTCGAAGGTCGCATTATCCCCCAAATCATTTTTTGCCTCAGGTATTGCCGCGAGAATGTCCCATTGGTTACGCTTCAGAACACACCCAACCTCCTCTAGGTTGGCACTAATAGTGGCTGATCTTCCTTCTTTATTGTAATAGGTTACTTTCAAGTAGACCGACGACAACATTGTGTCTAGATTCTCGAAGATTGACCTTCCCTGGATACTTTTGAAGGCACTTTTAAACCAGACTATGAGGAAGTTGAGGATAACCTTTCTTTGGTGCAATCCTTCTCCAAGTGTTATTGTCATATTTATGGATACCCAGAGGTGAGTCATCAAATCATTAAAGGCTAAAATATCTCCCTCATTATACAGATTCATATCTTCTTGTTTAATGCCTAACAATTCCCTTGTATCAGTATAGAGGATATTGTGAGAGCTTCTGTCACCTAAGAGGAATCATATAAGGCTTCGATCAACAATGGCGATCACAACAATTCGAGGTAGATTAAAGTTTGGAATTACATTGATCTTGTCCTGATCTATAAATCCTAGCTATAATCGATCTCTGTTTTGTTGCACGCTAGTGTTCGACGTGAGTAGAAGAAAATATGGTGAAGGACAAGTGTTGGATGACACAGTGATGCAAAATTCTCTGATCAGTGGTAGCTGGTGGGCGATTTATTCATGAGATAGATTGAGGATCTTAGACATTACTACTGGATTTACCTTCTCTGAACTTTCTTCTTCCAGTAGAGATCTGACTTCAGATTGCAATAAATCTGGTAATGCCAATGGAATTTCACGAGAATTAGAAGTCGATTCTCATAGACAGGCCACTAGTGAAGAACCATAATTGGATGTTGTTGGTGAACTAAATATCTTGAACCAGTGGTGTTGATCTCAAATATGGAAGCACGGGGAGGACCAACAAGGTTAACACTTCAACACTCATGTCACGTTAAGATTCAAGATGAGTATAATTAAAAGTGAAGATCATAAAATGTATCTTGCTTTCCATTTGACCTTACTTTTATACTTTGGGTCAAGTGGAAAGGATTTGAGATAAACTAGACCTTAGTTATTTGGGCCTTTGGCTAGCCAAGAACACCATTCCCTTCGTATACTCACATCAATACTAAAAGACTTTGATGTGAGCCTAGTTCACATGATGCAATTGAGAGAGAGAAATTAATAAGTGATTAAGGATGCTAGCCTCAAAGTCATTCAAAGGAAGGATAAAACCTATAAAAGAAAATAGACATTCATGAATAGGAATGACACACTCATCATATTTGTTCCATATCCTCTTATCTTCCCCAGGGGAAACATCCCTAAATCTAAAGAAGATCTCATTTTGACGAAGGCATTGTCCAAGTGGTATCCAACGTCTCTTGATCCACCAATACCTTCGAGTTGTTCCCAGTCGCCTTCTAGATTCTGGATGGATAGTTCTCCATTACATAGGGACCTGCCAACACATGAAAAGAAATAGATACGAGTAGCATCCTAAAGAAGATTTAAAGATAAATTTAACATCCATATCAAAGTACATTTATAGCAAGAAGGTTCATCAAAAGGACAAACAAAAATCCATAAATGATG